GGCTTGGATGATTAGTGGTGTCCCAAATATTAACACAAATAGTGTAGACTGTTGCAGGAGTGATGCCATAGGGGAAGGGAGAGTTATTCACATAGGCTAATGTTAGCTTTATGCAAACTAGCTCCCTGGCTGTGGCTGTAGTCTGTCAAAAGAGATAGGTTTTTCCAGAGGATGATTTAAAGTGGCTAATGCTTACCACTATAGAGAAGCTTTTTTCCTCTCCATTAACTTCAGATGGGATTAGCCTCCCTCAGCCAACATTAGCCCAAGTGAATAGTCCTCTAAATGTTGTCAGCCGTGTGGAAAAAAAAAAACCCAACCCTGAAATGATGTCACTTGATGTTATCAACTCTTTTTTTTTTTATTTTTTTATGTAATTTTTTTATGATGTAATTTCTGATAAAATAAATCTGAATTTTATTCTCCTTTCTCTGGTGTAAGTAAGCTGTGACTGTTACCGCTGAAACTGAGAGGGTGTAAACAGAAACAGAATAATTTATGTTGAAAGGAACCTCTGGAGGTTCCTGGTCTGATCCTTCTCCAAGAAGATTCACCCTTATAGATTCTGGTGCAACAAAATGTAAGGTTTTAGAATTACAAAGTATATCCAGAATAGTCCATCACATCTTGAAGAGTGAATACTGGCTGCATCTGTGGCAGATACTCTACTGTCAGACACAAGTATTAGACCAAAACACATGCATAGATGGGGTGAAGGTACTGTTAAGTGTTGGCCTGTTCTCTCACAGACATCCTGTGGTCACATGCATCCATATCTCTTCTCTAAGTGGCTTCTCTGTCATCCCTGATAAAAGAATACCTTTCTCTTCCACTTATCTGCATGAGAAGTGGACATCCTTTAATGTAGGAAAATGAAGAAGATTATATGATTTGATGTCAGAAGATATGTTGTCTCACAAGTATCAGAATCCTGATTTGCTAAACTGCGGCCCTTTAGAAATATCAGTCCTTAACATTGATCTTCAGCATGACACATACAATCAATAAAGGTAGAAGATGGAATCAGATATTTCAAAAAGGCCAAAATGAAAAAAAAATATAAGAAGAAAAAAAGATAGGAAATATAAACCTCTTCATTTACTAGTGCTGTGTTGACAGAGCTCCTTTTATTTGGGGTGCCTCGCTTTTCAAGAGTTATTTACAATGAGAGTGGAGCAGCAAAAACGATAACTTCATTTTAAACCTGCTTTTTCAGCCTCTGCTGCTGCCTTTCAGTGCTTGATAGCCTTTGTGCATTTATTCCTGAGCTGGGCAATTACAACCCCACATTTTGCCTGACTTGTGTTTCCCAATTTCACCTGTATTTCATCTCTTCAAATAGCTCTGTTATTTCTGACTGATTACTAACCACTCCTCTGTGTGTCTGACCCATTTGAATAGCAAAAGATGTCTCCACATGAACCAGAGGCTCTTACATTCCATGCTCTGATTACACAGAAAACACTCCTGAAGATTACACAGTAATACGTAAGCAATACTGCCATAAAATACAGCCCCTCATTCTACAAGCAAGCTGATTAAACCCGTGAGAACTCACATGTACGAGACCTCCAACAAGGTTTTGCCTTACAAGTAATGCTTTGCTGTGTCTGAAGTTTCCTTCTGATTTTAATGGAGAAGTATGCAGTAGTTCTGCAATTATGTGGCAAAAATCAGCCAAGTAAAAACTGTACTTTCGTCCAGAACAATGAATGCAATCATGAAGTAATTAGTGCAGGCAGCAGATGGTTTGCTGCTCTTTTTTTCTCAAGACTGGAAGGAAAAAGCCATGACTTAATAAGGGACTGGTCTGTCAGAAGTGGTAATTCAAGTCTGCTGCCCAAGGCAGAGACACAGGAGAGAGATATGGGAACAAAAGTAACAGTCACTGAACCTTAACAAGTTGTTGCTCGTCAGCTGAATCCCAGTAATTAACCACATTCACTCATAAACAACACCCAAAAAACTAGGACATAAAATTATTTCAGTTAAAACAGATTTCCCTACCATTCAGTGAATCCAAACAAATAAAAAAGATCTTATCATAGTGATAGGCTCAGTGGGCTGTGAAGAGATTGAGGGATGATTCTATGTGACCCATTTCCTGTAGATTACAACTGAGCAATAAAAGACATGGATTACTGTTGGCTTTGCCCTCATCAGTCCTGAATTGGATGGATAACTTCTGAGACCAGAAGCAGTCCAGATCCAATGTGATTCCTGTCTCTCCAGCTCTTGCTCTTATTCACCATCTGATTCTCCTGGTACCATTTGCTGCAATGACATGATGCAAATGGATGACAACAATCATGTTGCAAGAAGGGTGCAAACATGTTTTCTAGTTGACTCTCACCTCTCTCCTGTCAACAGCAAAATTAAATGATTGTGCTAACCATTACTGATCAACATCCAACTCACTCTTTACAGTCCCCATCAACACCACTTTCACAGAATCTTAAATCAGTGGCATCAAAGTTAGTGGCATCAAAATGTAAATTCTTTACCATGCAGATATGTTTCCCTTGCCTCCTTGGGTGACTCTTAGCCAGTATGCACACAGTGCCTGGAATCCAAGGAGTAAGGGTTCTCTTTCCTTAAATAAGGCCTTAGCACAAGATCAGGAAATAGCGAACAGCAGTGTCATTTGTTCCAAAGTACCCCACAGCTCCCTTTGCAATTATCTAAATACCTGCAGGACCTCTTAATTACTGTCAGAAAATTCTGCCTTTGGATATACAAACATGAAACCAATGGGAGTCATTTACACTTAGCCATAGGCTGAACTTGACCCTTGGTTTGAGATACATTTAATTTAGTCCAAGCTGATTAATACTCTTTGCCTGCTGGTTACCCTCTACACTTCTTGGCCAAAGCTTGTTAAGTCAGAAAATGTATCCATTAGGCTTTAAAGCAGAAACCAGGCCTGTGACTCATACCCATTCAGAGCGCTTTTAAAATTCTATTTTGAATTTAATTGGTACAGATCTACAGACCTTGTGCTACCTGATTTTTGTCTTGCAACTACAGTACTGAATTACTAACAGTTATCTAATTTGCTAATCAACACCATAACAAAGAAATTTTGTCATACAGCCTACAGCCTCTCACCCCAAACACCTCATACATCCAACTCCAACACCAACCCCACAAATTCAGGTTAACGCAAAAAAGGACCCTTTGTTCTTATATCCATATTGTTTTTTAGGATTCTGTACAAGTGGGAGTTTCCTATAGAATAGTGTCAATACTTGTTGGTAGCCATCTATCATAAATTAAATAAGCCTTAGCTGTATGGCCTCTAATTCAGAATTATTTCCTGATCAGACTGAATACCATAACAACTGAAATAAATTTTCTACTATATCATACTTTTATTTGACAAAGTTCCCACTGAAAGCTTCATTGTTCTTCATGTAATAAATTTCCTGCTTATTAACACACAGTAATGTTCACTCAACGGGTCCTAAAAAGACATCAGAGACCAGCTTCTGTTCTGTTTCATATCAGTCCAGAGAACTCAATGGTCACAAGGGAAAGGAAATGTTTTGACCTTGACTAATTACATACTGAACACCCAGAAATAATTTAATCTGCACCTTCCTCTGAACAGAGTATATATATAACCACAGTACACTCTACAAAATGCTGTGAGAGGGGTGAGTGAAAAATATTGTATGGAATTGGGAAGAATTAGGCAGGGAAGATGCATTTCTCAGTTGCAAAGGATATTAAGCTACAGCCCTGGAATGATACTGGGTTTGAATTTAAAATGCAGGACTGAAATATTCGAAAAATTTCAATAAGACCATTTTGTGACCTTACCTACTTACTTAGCTATGCCTTTGTTTTCTCAGGCTTACAGTAAGAGTAACAACAAGACTAATTTATGCAAAAGGAAAATTAGTCGTTTAATGCTTTTACAATGAATTAAAATACGCAGATGAAAAACATCATTGAATTCAATCTTTTATGTTGATGTTTACACTAACGCATAACTTGAACAATTCAGCTAAGACAATTATTGCTTAGACTTTGCAATTTTTTTTTGTCTTTTTCTAGTTTTATTTAAAAATGTCAAAATGTCTGGACATGAAATCTGCCATTTCTCAGAGCAGTTTGCTCCAATGGCTAGTTACTTTATTGCAGAGTTTATCTGCCATTGACTCCTAACCATCAAATTTTGTTAGAAGTTTTTATTTCTGGATCAAAATGCTTACTCCTATATTTTGTCTTCCTCCACGGAGATATTTATGCAAACAATATAGTTTTCCTTCAATCTTTTTGTTAAACTAAGGAGATTGAGGTCTATCAAGTCCTTCACTGGAAGACAACTCCTTGTGAGGATTGATGTGTCTGATTTTCAAAAAGTTCTAACAATGAGTTCTCCAAAATGAAGTCTTGTGGTGTTGTGTTAGGTTGGGCAGCAAAAAATCAAGGCAAATCTCACAGCATATTTATTTGGCTGATGGATTACCTGTACTGAAGGAACTGGACTTCAAAGAAAATTGATTCACTGCTACTTTTTCTCTTAGAAAATCAAAGACTACTTGAAAATATGCCAGCCAGATGGGAACAAGGATTGTCTTATACTGTTCTTGGAGCTGATGCTAGGCTGGAGCAAGACAGTTGTGAAATAAGAGGACAAAAGCCTCATTAGAGGTTGTGATTCCTACAGTGAAGGACCCTAGCTGTCTTCTCTGCCCATTGCCTGTCACACAATATTGCTTGCCAAAAGGACAGATGACTAAATGCAGACTGCCAGATCAGTAACTGAGGGCTAGGCCCCAAGAATACAATAGATGCCCATGTCCTTTACTTTGACCTTTATGTTGAGGCTTGCTCAATGTTTTCTGCTTGGAAATACCAAACTGGTATTTCCAGACCTGTCCTGGTATCGCCCTCAAAACCACCTGAATGTTCTGCAGCAGTTACACAAAGAGATGGAGAAACCCCAAGTTCTTCCTAGGCAAACAAAGCAAAATGCTGCCAAAAATTCTTACCTTCTGATCTTGGCTGTAGGCTAAGATCCAATCTTCCTGCTTGGGGTGGAAGAGCAGACTGTGGATGTAGAAGTTCAGACGGTATTTTTGATAGGTGGCTCCTTCGTCAGAACTGATTAATAAGCTGCTTTCAACTTCTGGATCAGTCAGCAGCATAATCTATATGGAAGGGAAAGATGAAAATACAGTGGTGAAAACAGATGGAAGAGTAAGCAAGCAGCTAGGAACTACAGATAAGCTTATTAAATATGGCTATTTCAAAATGTTTCATTGTAATGTCAAACCTACCATAGCCAATACTTCAGTAATTAAAACACTATATTTCAGCTGTGCATATAAACACATAATATATGACCAAATAATCAGAATGGCTTTACCACTAGTTAAATCAGACCTAAATGAAGTTATGCTTAGGTTATTTGAAAAATTAAACCTGAAATTTTTAACTTACTAAGTTACCAGACAGGTACAGTGGGGTGCTAGGGTCTTCAAGAATGATCCATTGGAGTGACAGACAAAAAGTTAGGTGTTAAGAAAACAAGAAAAAACCCAAAACAAAACAGAGAGAGGAGAGTGACACGTTAGAGAATGAACTCTAATGGAGAGTTTTGCTAGACTCTGGCAGAAATTCCAGAGAAGACAGTTTCATTGCCTGAAACATTATAACGTGGCTGTCTGCAACAAGCAATCTTGTTCTGGCAGAAGAACACATCTGATAACATAATTGGCTCTTTCCATCCCCAGTTCCTACTGTGCTGTGAATTACAGATTTGGTGGTATATAAAAAATAATCTCTGCAAAGTAAATTTGCTTTCCAGTTTTGTCCAGGAGTGTTAGTTTAGCAGTCACAAAAGATATACAGCTTGTAGTTGTAGTAGCTACTTCTCCCCATTAACTGTGGTATTAATTGGTCTGCATTGCTGATGAATCAGAGAGAATAACGAGTTACTGCTCTCATGTGTCTCTGCACAAGAGAATGTATAGGTCTAATCAGTAAAAAGAGATCATTCTAGTATTTCAGCAAGCAACAGAGTAATACCCCTAAGGAATGGGAATGAGGTATCATGAGTGAAAACCATGAAAAAATTTAAAGAATATTTGCCTGGAAAGGTATTAAAGCCTTGAATCATTAGGATTTTTATTTTATTTTTTTTTCTAAGTTGCTTTGCAAATGGCAAACACTGATCTGGTTTAGAAAAGCCTGAAATGAAAGGATCTGCACCTGACATTTCTCAGAGCAAATTCCTATCTCAGTTTGAGCATTGTAAAAATTACACACTCCATTTCCTTCTCTTCTTTCATTTAGGCAGGCAGAGTTAGACATAACTCACTACCTATGAATTATAGGGAGACATAGCATCTGGTGTCTGATAGACACCAGAAGGTGAAGGGGTAAATACACATATAATCTACACAGAACATCTCCTTCATTATTGTGCAGCTGCCAAATGTTTCTTTTTCTACCTCTAGAAACCCCCTTGGTAGCACAATTTGGCCTGTGACTTAGAAGTCTGGGGTTCTGCAAAATCCTTGAACTTTCTGATTAATCTGCATAATCACAGAGCAGTTACATTACCCCACTGTATCTCTAACATAAAATAGGGTAGGGTTCCCATTGTAGCATAAAGTTACAGTCTCCTATTATATCTCTGATTTATTTTAGAAATTTGTGATGAAAACCTGCATTATTATACATTTTTATTTTCATTTAACACTTTCAAATATACCAAGCATATTGTTGATGTGACTTCTAAACTGAAGATTGTATGACAGAAGCTACACAGAAAGGATTAATAATCAAAATATCAATATATATATATTCTACTGCCACTAAGTAGCCTATCCAGCTTCTGAAGTCAAAAATTAATTACAATGTTGTTTATCATTTGGTTCTTTTTTTCTTACCAGACTAATTTCTGGAACAATGTTCCTATGTTTAACATTTATTGATTCAGTACTATGATTCAAGTATTATGATTTTCCTATTTTTATGACTTCCTTCTTGAGTGGATTTTGTTTATGTTAGTATTTGGAAATATCACAGCACAGCACTAATTTGGACTAGAGCAACTAGAGCAGAAATAAGCACAAATCAATGGGCTTGATGCGAGCTCCCTGAAGTTAATAAGAGTCTTGTCATTGACTTTGGATTGTGCCTCTAAGGCAAGTTGTTAATCAAGATCCAGTCTAGTCTCAAATATTTCCTTCTACCTGCACAAGGAACTCATCTGACCTCATCACTGCCACATCCAAGCACATCACTGCCTTAACACATTTTCTGTCAGGCCACTCCTCTGAAGTGCGAAAGTGCTCTTATCTGCATTTCTTAGAAAGGGAATCCAGGGATAAACTGTTGAGGCACTGAAGCACCTAATTCCACATCCAATCAATAAAAGTTAAGTGCCTGAACAGACTCGCTAACACTGCTGACTTCGGCTTTAATCTGCTAACTGCCACCCTGGGCTGTTAGTACTTTGTTTTCAGATATCTAGGGGTCTCCAAACCTATTGCATTGGTATTGCATAAAACCTATCCCATTGCTATTGCATTGGGATAACCAGCCATTCTGTACCTAAGAAGTGTTTCAGGACATGCCAGTTTTGCTACATATACCAGCAGCAATACTGCCTTAGAGGTGGCAGAGCTGTGAGGAACTGCTGCAGGTTTATGCAAGGGCACACAGGGAGTCGTAGACCGGGGAGGGATTTGATGGAACGACTCCACTAGTCAGATTGCTAACTACGAGACCAACTTTCAGCATTATCTGCTCCACTGTTGTACCCTGTATTGCCAGTCACTTTGCACAGATGTCATAAGACAAAACACGGTAGAGTCGACTATCAGTCACTACTCACATCAGTCACAACACCACGTTTCTTACAAGATAAGAAAAGCAAATTTCATTACAACATATCTGTGTGTAAATAATCAGCGTTACAAGCCCAAAAGATAGCATTTATTGGATAAGTAGAATAAACTGATACCTGTATGAAAAATACATCAAAATGAGAGGAAAATGCCATGTGTATCTGCATAAACATTTCAGATAAGACCAGGAGTGTGCTTCTGAAATTAACCCTTTCAAATTTTGGGGAAAATCTCTATAGTAAGTCCTTACACATTGTGTTCTGACTCATCCCACAGTGATCTTGGAGGACAGGAGTGGCATTCCTTTTCAAGGATACTAAACCAGAACATACCCTGCCCATGGCAGGGGGTTAGAACTAAATAATCTTTAAGGTCCCTTCCATTCCAAACCATTCAATGATTCTATGATACATTTCAGGAGTTCATCTAATGTTTTCTAAACACTACTGGACACTCAGCTCAGAGTATCAGGCTAGCACTACTCTAAAGTCAGACCCTCTGCCTCCTAAATGCCCAGACTGCAGATGTCATCTCAGCTTCAACCATTTCATTCTACAAACACACTTCCACTGAGCTGTCCTACGTGATAATGTGGTTGCAGTCACATTAGTTTAGTTTTATTGCCCAAGTTGCCCGGAATATAAATGAGAAAGGAGGGAAAGTACAATTAATTTTAATGATTTTGTTGTTGCAGCATATGAAACACAGAGTAACATTTCAGAATTTCCCCTGAAATAAATTAATCCAATTTCTTCTTTGAAATAGTCTACTACCCATTGACTTGATGTAACATAAGTTATAGATCTTAAACAGTCCTCAATTTTTTCACCCCTTTTTTGATGCTAATTCTGCTGATGACAGATTGCTCTTGACAATTACATGTATTTTTGCTCTCCTCACAAAAAATCCCAGGAATTATTAGCAAGACGATTCTGATTTTGCTTCTACAGACGGAATTGGGATCCTTTTGTAACTGCCCTGAATGCTAGATTTAGTGGTTTAGTAAAAAGAGCCCAGAACTGCTCTTTTATTTTGGCCACTGATATCTCCACCTGGACCAACTTTTTCCTAACATTTTGTAGGAGACAGCATAGTATCAATGAAATAGAACAGTATAAAAAAAATCCAAATGCATTTCATAGGTTCATATGTTCTTTCATTCACTTCTGATGTATGAACAAATCTGAGTTATTACACCTGAGTAGAAATAGGGATAAAATGCAAATTGGGTCAAAGCTACTGAAAGAACCTTTACCTTCCTTACCTATCACACTCTTCATGCATAGACCCAACACTGGTGACTCACATGGAACAAGTAATATTTCTCACAGAAAGAAATGAGTGAAGCACAGCAAAAGAAGAAATCAGCAAGTAAGAACAAAAATGTCCCTAACAAAAGCAGGGCATTCCCTACCTAAATTGTCTAAATGATTGCATTTATTTTTACAGCTTCTCTGCATGTCAATTACAAAATTTTAGAGGGTTGTGGAGGGAATTTTTTTCACATGGTAACTGATTACAAGAGTTGGAGTCTCAACACAACAAAATGTAATTTCTGCCACTTCTGAATTTGGATTGCATTTGCAAGGCATGAATATTGTGTAAAGAGAGAACCTGATCCTCCAGATTCAGCAGTTCATGCATGCATTTCAAAGCAATGCTCTCTGCTATGAATTAATTAAACTAGTTCATTGCTTAAGCTTTCTCAAGATCTAGAATAAGATATAAAGTGAAACAAGGCAAAGAAAGGCCATGACATTCTGAAATAAATGCAACACTAATGTAAAGCAAATTAGACCTATTGCTCTTACAGGACCAAGTTGCTGGAAGCAGTAAATGGTTGCAAGAGCAAATAAATTAGAGACAAAATCACAAAAGAAATAACAAGCATTTAGTTATTTAGTTAGATATTAATACAGAAAGAGGAGACTGAAGCCTTTGAAAAGTTTAACAATCTTTACTCATGGGCTAACATCAACTGCTGTATAACTGTGTACAGGAGTAATGCCACCAAAAGTTGGCCCAAGTCGCTGCTTCAAATAAATTGGCGCACAGCACCAGCACCTAAATGAAAACATGAAATGAGCTAGAGTTGACAGTTTTGAAGCTGTTGCTATTGCCAACTAAAAGACAAGGTTAGTTGCTAAGCAATTTCATTAAGACACCATTAAAATAATACACCAATAATTCAATTAAGGCATTGTGGAGTATTTTATTGCCAGAAGTTCTAGTTAACTCTGAAAGTGCAGTAATTTTGTAAAGAAAGAAAAGACTTCAGTGACAGAATTACA